TCTGACTGTCGCCCAGTCTGCTAAATGTATTGCATACATCATTCTGTGTCACATTCATGACACTGCTATCACATAGACGCTATCACTCCTACTAATATGGATATAACAACACTGCCATTTCATAGATATTTTCATAGATAAGGAAAGTGTTAATCACGCTGTCATGTCTGGCTCTCTGTGACCCCATGGACTGTAGCCTGCCAGGCTCCTCCGTCCATGGGATTCTCCAGGCAAGAATATTGGACTGGGCTGCCTTTTCCTTCTCCAGATAGATGAGGAAACTTGCATTTACTGAGATTAAATGATTAGTCCCTTTTCACATAACTAGTAAGGAACAGAGTCTGGATTTGATTTGAAATTACTTTGATTCCAAAGTTAGCTCTATTAATCACCAAATTATTTTTTTCTTCCACATTCCATATATGATAGCAATAATGCACAGGTTAATGAATGTAATTTTCATATTGATTAGAAAAGACAAAAGGGAGGGAGGAAGGAAGACAGATTATCATAAATTTTAAGTAAGTAAGACGGGACATCTATGATCAAAGGAGAAGGAGCTGCAGATGAAACAAAGAGCAGAGTAAGAATAGATTTTTATTGCAATGGAATTTGGGGCAAAAGAAGGCAAATATGCCTGCAAATAATACTTGCAATTGAATATATGTAGCGGTAGCAAGAATCTAATAAACTGGCTCACATTCTTTAGGTCAGAGAATTCAGATCCAACCAAAGAGCTCTGGCATCAAATTACCATATGCAAAGTCTGGGCCATTTAACCTAGCATACTAAGAGAATTTATTTGGTTATTCTGCTCATTGCAAATTGGGACCTATTTGGTACAATCTATGACAAAAGATACTTTGGCCACCTCATGTGAAGAGCTGACTCATTGGAAAAGACCCTGATGCTTGGAGGGATTGGGGGCAGAAGGAGAAGGAGACGACAGAGGATGAGATGGCTGGATGGCATCGCCGACTCGATGGGCATGAGTTTGAGTAAACTCCGGGAGTTGGTGATGGACAGGAAAGCCTGGTGTGCTGTGATTCATGGGGTTGCAAAGAGTCGGACACGACTGAGCAACTGAATTGAACTAATGACAAAGGAACCTAGTGGGCTACAGTCCATGGGGTCACAAGTCAGACATGACTTAGTGACTAATCCACCACAACCATGGTAACTGGAAAGCTCTAAGTGCCTTATAATTCCACCTTGAGTACATACAGAATCCTATCTCCAGGGCCAGGTCTACTAAGAAGCAAAAGTTGCTACTGCAAAGAAGCTTCTGACAACCCACAACCTAATATTGAGAACAAAGAAGTGCACAGGAGACAAGCACTCAAAGCCTACACAAACCTGAACCGAAGACCCTACGTAGACAAAACATTAAAATTTTAAAAAGCTTTCAGTGCATCAGCAAGCCAGCCAGCCCAAGCGGTCAAAGAGCTAGAGAGCGGTGCTCAAGAACAACTTTAAGAAATCATTCCACACTGCTTGAATAATTTCACAAATTCATTTGGTGTTCTATTATTCGCCAAAGCACTGAGAACTTGTTTGCTATTACAGATGGTGGAGAATTTCTAGTTTGCATAAAAATCAACATCCCATGAAGACTTGGGGAAAAAAAAAAAAAAAACATATGCTTGCAGATGATTACCCAAAGATAGCATCAGAACATTCATTATTCATTAGCTGCATCATTACAAATGTAATATGATCCATTCTCCATATTCCAGTGAATTTAAGTCCCTATGGACCAAGTTGCTACATGCAGTTTTATCTCCCTTTTCAATTCAGATCACATCAGTCTTTAGGACAACATGTGTGCTCACCTTATGTGAGAGTTTTGTAAATGTGGTAAGATAAATGAAAAACATAAAAAGTAAAACAGCCACTTGTTATTTCTCTATATTTGTCAATAGCTATTATAGGGGAAAATATTTAGGCTCTCCTCATCTATGTTCCTGCCGTGGCCCAAGGGGAACAAATGTCCACAAACACTTCCATCTTCTGGGGATAGTAGAAGGAAATATCTGTGTCTCTAACTTCTTTTATTTTTAAAAAATAGCAGCAGAGAGAGAGGGGGGTAGAACCCTGCATGTGACACTTGAATAAAGCTAATTTATGGGTCCCTGCATTGACTTTATAGGCATCATATTTTGATCAAGATACTAGAGAAGAAGAGAGTAAATAATAAAAATCAGGCAGCAAAACCCCGACTCAGTACTCCTGCAACACAAAATATTCTGAAGTGTTTGTAAATCTTTACCCACGAGGGCAGAATTACCCACACACTACTTTCAAACAGGATTCCTTCAGCTTCCGGTTGCAGCAATAGCTGTAAACTGTGAGAATTTCTCATCATACCACATCAGAATCTTTTTCACAATTAAGAGTTGAGCCCAATGTCATTTCTACTGATACATGGTTTTTACACACAACTCTAAATCTAATGTCCTTCTTCTGTAATTCTTCAGCAATTGTAACACTTTCACAGAACTTATCACAACCTGCCAGATGACTATTGAAATTATCTGAGTATGTGCTCTGGTCTAGAATGAGTATGTCTAGTGAGTAGAGGTGATATGACAAGCTTGTATAATTGCTCACAGTCCTTACAAAGTATATTATATGTGAAAGGTATGGACTGATTTCAATTTGTCAGGCTAAGTACATTTTTATCCTAGGTCAGGAAAGACACAGTGGCCAACTTTTAGTAAATCAGGTCTTCTTCAGAACACAGTCATTAGCATAGTCACTCATAACATTCCTGACCACAACCACCTACCCACATATGAGTGCTTGTATGCCTCCACTGTAGAAACACAAACACTCCAACACACACCCACAGAGAGCGCTACAGACATCTTTCCTTAGCATCTCATAGTATTTGCTAGCAACTCAGCCTCTATTTCCTAATCAAAAATTTAGCCTGCTTCAGGAGAGAAAATTGCAAAGGTCATGGACCATTTCTGTGATACAGTTTCACAACACATGGTAGAAAAAACGATTTGTACCCCTAGTCAACAATGCAGCCATATGATAAGAGCACCAGGAAAAGTTTCCTAAGCTGATGTAAACCTGTCTTAGAAGCGATTGCCTACATTCATTTCTCCTGCAAATGGGGCTGCAGCTGCTTCTTTGGTTTAATTACTCTTGAATACCTGGTCCTGGTTCCGCCAACTTTCTGTGAGCAGAGGGCCCACCGCAGGCGCTCTCTCAGGAGACCTGTGCCCCTTCACCTTCCACCGAGGCTGACTCATTGCGGCCAGTGCCTTGTGAAGGACTGTTTCCTGTTGCTCATGTCAATCAGGCAAATCACACAAAACACAGTATAACATGGTTCAGCGAGAACATGGAAAAAAGGGAAGCCTTACACTATTGGTGGGAATGTAAACTGGTATAGCCACGGTTGAAAACAGTATTGAGGTTTCTCAAAAAAACTATTGTATGACCCAGCAATCCCACTCCCAGGTATACACTGAAAAAAAAAACAAAACACTAATTTGAAAAGATATATGAACCTTAATGTTCACAGCAGCTTTATTTAGAATTGCCAAGATGTAGAATCAACCTAAGTGTCTATAGGCAGATGAATGGATAAAGATGTATGTGTATGGAACGCTATTAAGCCATAAAAAGGAATAAAATTTTGCAACATGGATGGACTTGGAGGGCATTATGCTATGTGAAATAAGTCAGACAGACAAATACTGTGTCATATCACTTACAAGTGGAATCTAAAAAATACAACAAACTAGTCAATATAACAAAAAAGGAAACTCACAGGTACAGAGAACAAATCAGTAGTTACAGTGAGGGAAGGAGGGACAATACAGGAATAGGGGAGGGGGAGAAACTATGGGTGTAAGATAGGCTACAACATGGGGAATATATCAAACAGTCTGTAATAACTGTAAGTAGAGTGTGTCGTTTTTGTTTAGTTACTAAGTCATGCCCAACTCTTTTGCAAACCCATGGACTGTAGTCCACCAGGCTCCCCTGTCCATAGGATTCTCCAAGCAAGCATACTGGAGTGGATTGCCATTTCCTTCTCCAGGGGATCTTCCCAACCCAGGTATCAAACCTGCAGCTCCTGCACTGGCAGGCAGATTCTTTACCACTGAGACAGTATAGCCTTAAAATTGTAAAGAAAAAAATAAATATTGCTACAGATTTTTTTGAAAAGTAAAATGAGATAATGGCAAATGAATCACAGAACTAGCTGTCAAAGATCTGGGTTTTTAATAACATTCCATAACTTAATAATTATTTGAACTTGGATGGGCCACTCAGCTTGTCTAAACTTCAAATTCCTTATTGGTTAAATCAGCACCATTCTAAAGTTCCATAAATTTACTTCATGAGATTGCTATACTATATAATTTTGTAAACTTCATTATATAAAAGTCAGTGATATCAGATTACATAATTTAAAATGTATGACAAAAGACAAATTGCCATATACCACTTACATGTGGAATCTAAAATATGATAAAAAAAATCAACATATCTCTGCAACAAAAACAGACACACAGATATAGAGAACAGACTTGTGGTCGCCAAGAGGAAGAGGTGGTAGGTGAGGGAAAGGATGGGAGTTTGGGGTTAGCAGAGGCAAACTATTAAAGACAGGACGATGAACAGCAAGGTCTTACTGTGGAGCACAGGGAACTCTCTTCAACATTCTGTGTTAAACCATAGCGGAAAAGGATATAAAAACGTATACATGTATAACTGAGGCACTTTACTGTATGGCAGAAATTAACACAAAGTTGTAAATCAACTATACTTCAGTAAGTTTTTTTTAAAAGAATATATGTACTTCGAAACACCAAGATAATAACCCTGGTGATAAGCCTGGGAGACTCGTTCAGAATGAAAAGTACACGATAAAACATGCAGGCAGCTAGCGCATTATACTGTCTCCCTTCACTGTGACGTAACTCATGACATCACTTTGGTGCCAGCTCTGAGCGACTGGGGTGTACTGCTTCCTGCCACTCAGTACTCTCCACTGAAAAGAAATCAGTGGGGGCCCTCCCACTGCCAGGATTTAGAAGGTATATTTCTTAGGTAACATGTAGAGGTAGTTATTCGTGGGCAAACAGAAGTTGTTTCTGAATATGAGTCTGCCCTCATGTGGATAGTTTAGCTTAATTCTGCATCAGGCAACTGTCAGTTCATTTTCATCCCTTGAAAATATTAAGTAGACGGTAGGCAAATACTTTCTCTGTGTATTTTTTTTAAGAGCAAAGATAGCACTAATGGCCATTTCCTAAGTATAAAATATTAAGTTCTTTGGAAGGTATTCATTGAACTTCCCATTAAAAAAGCTTCCTGACTGGATAAAAGTTATTTGACTGAAAATAGCATCATAAGCTTGCATTAAAACTTGGAGTGTGACTCCACAGACTAGCTTGGAAGAACACAGGCAGCATCTGGTCGTTCTCACCTTGAATCTGCCAATACTAACAGTGTGATTTAAGGAGCATGTCATTTAATCTCACTGCCTTCATTTTTCTCTTGAAACAAAAGGCATGACATGTTTGTAACTGAGGTCATCTAAAAGTGATCTAATGAGGCTTATAATAAAAGGAGCAGATTGCTGAAATTGAACAATCAAAACTCAGTTACAAGGAAAAAGAACTAAAGGTATCAATCATCTAAGGGAAAATAACAATATATCTAAAAATTTATTTTAGCACTGAGTTCCCTGGAAGTTTAGGTAAAAAGAAAAAATCTTTCTCTCTCTTTTTATCACCATTATTTTTATATTATATATTTATATACTTACTTATACATAACATAAACCATGTTATATAACATAATGATATATTATGTTATATTTATTATACATATTATATATATATATTTACATGTTATATGCTTGGAAAGATAATATTTTTTCCATATATTTTCATAAAAATTTGTTCCAGTCAAAATTTCTTTCCTCCTGATTTTCCTTTATACAAAACTGTGAGCAAGAGTTATATTGTCTTTAAAGATACTCTCTAATTTTCCAATACTTTGAGGGTGTGATATTTGCTGGCCAATGTGAAGTTCTTTACATATATTCTATAGTCATTTAAATAGCTCTGAAAAGTAGACACTGTCCTCTCCATTTCTAGAAAGGAAGAAATCAGCACTTAGATTACAATCCATGGGCTGGGAGAACACAGCCATCATCACGTGGCTGTTTCCATATAACTGGGCATAATCAGCAGACATGCTTCTTTTGAGAGGCCAACTCAATGAGGAACATAAAGAGATGTGAAACACGGATGCCAATTTCTACCTCTACAAAGGCAGAAGGATAAAATACTTGAACATAGTCTTGAACATGCCATCCTAAAGTATTTCTTCCACTCAGTTTTTCACAGGCAAATGGAACTGAATAATAGCCATCTGCAGACAAACTTTCTGAAGAGATTATAAAATGGGCGTATTTTAAATAGCTGGTAGAAAGTAAGGCTACCTATTTTTACTATAGATATAGGCAGCAAGACTGGCATATCAATATATTAACACAAAGAAGTCATTCATATTTTCATATGGATGACTACACAGTGGTGGATATAGGGAGAATGAACTTGATGAGCAGTCAGATCCCTTCCCACTGTAAGATTCAGCCACTAGAGAATAGACTAAACATAAGAGTAACCTGTGTTTGACTACACTGACAGTGAAGAATTCATCAGTACGCTCTGGTTCTAGTATGAGCCTCAGACCGTCCATGCCAAACAATTGGACTTCTGAGCATGAACAGGGCTCCCATCTGCAAATAATGCACAATGAATAAAAGATAAGTTGACACATCTGTTAATACTATTTTCTCCCTACAAAATAAACCCTATTGAGAATGTTCTTCATGGGGTAAGCGCATTCAATAAAATTAAAATTCAAATGAGGCCCAGGAAAATATATGAAAATTGAAAGCCGGCTTTCAGCCCGATTCCTCCTCCCACCAGCCCCACGCTTTTATCTTCCCATGGGTAAGAAAAATGCTGTTTACCATTAATCACATAAATACCATACACCCACTGCTTGACATATATCTCTAATCCTCCCAATAACCCTGCAAGAGAAGAATGAGAATTTCCACTTACAAAGAGGAAGCTGGAATCTGACTGGCCAAAGTGAAAATGTTACTAATTGCAGACCCAGGATAGCAGGGTGATGATCTCTCTGAGTCTAGCTTGAGAGCTTTAAAATAACAGAGGATCTTCTCTCCTCAGCACAGTCAGGTGCATAGCTGTTACTTGGTATTTGTTGAGTACTTAGTACTGAATTTCTATTGAAGAAGGAAAAGAAAAGCTTGAGAAGAAAATCTACAGAAGTTTTGGTTTCTCAGTTCCTTCAAAGAAAGGGTGTAAGCACATCATCTCTGCTGCTTACCACCCCCTCTCCATTTTCTCCCCCGACTCTGCCAGTTGTATATCCAGTGCTCGCAACATGGCAAACTCTTCTTACATACCCTCAGACACAGTTACCTAACTTCTCTGCCTCAATTCCCTCATCTATAAAACAGGACTAAAAGCATTAATATAGGCTTCCCTGGGGGCTCAGATGGTAAAGAATCTGCCTGCAATGCAGGAGATGCAAGTTCAATTCCTGGGTCTGGAAGATCCCCTGGAGAAGGAAATAGCAACACACTCCAGTATTCTTGCCTGGAGAATTCCATGGTCACAGAAGCCTGGCGGGCTACAGTCCATGGAGTCTCATAGTCTGACATGACTGAAGCAACTGAGCATGCATGCAATAGCATTAATATATATCCCAAAGTTGTTGCATAGATAAAATCAGCTAGTACACTACAGCAACGAGCACAATATAAGGCTATATATATTTACATAGTGAGTATGCAATCAACGCAAGTTAGTAGTGTTCTCTTTGTCATCACACATTTGCTGAACAAACGTGTGAATTAATGAATAAACCCATGGGCAGGACACATGGTGTAACTATAGATGGAACATCTGTGCTTAATACCCACAGGTCCAAAAAAAAAAAAATACCCATAGATCCCTGTGCACCATTTTCAATCCCTAGAGTGGAGCCTTGCCCTTCAGAAATGAACCACTTGCTAATGATGATGGCTTCAGTGATGTAACAACTCGTGAAATGTACTGTGAGCAGGATGGTCAGTCACTGCCCTTCTCCAACAGCATCTCAGCATCTCACAGCATCTATCAGCCAGCCATTCCTGCCCCTTTAGCTTTTCATTCATTTTAAAAACATCTAATTATTTTAACTTTGATTTGTCTAACATTTTCGTCTATCCTAACACTTACCGAACATTTATCTCTAAGGTCTCCCATACACTCTGGATGGCACTAGAATATAAAGATAAAAAACCACATTCCTGTCCTTAAGAAGCATTTAGTCTTGTGAAATAATTGTAGCACAATGTAATATGGAATAGACTGAAGCGGCTTATAAAACCATGGTGGTAGGTGAGAGGAAGTTGTGAGATTTTAGGATTACATAAAAGGAAGGTTTCCTAAAGGAGTGACCTGAATTGTAAAGGATAAGTTAGAATAATGACGATTTAAAACTATTTTAGTTTTAGATTTATAGAATTATTGTGAAGATTGTACAGAGATTCCCCATATGTCCCATACCCAGTTTCTCCTATTGCTAACATCTTTAGTGATACATTACTATTAATTAAAGTCCATACTGTATTCACATTCCCTGGGGTTTTTTTGTTGTTGTTTTTGCTGTTTTGGTTTGTTTGTTTTTCTACCTAATTTCCTTTTTGTTTTCTAAGATCCCACCCAGGATCTCACATTATATTTAGTTGCCATGTCTTCTTAGGTTCCTCATGACTGATTGATTCTCAGATTTTTCTTGTTTTCTTTTATTACTTTGGCATTTTTGAGGGGGTACTAATCAGGTATTTTGTACATGCCCTTCAAAATTGGGCTTCCATCATAGCTCAGTTGGTAAAGAATCCGCCTGCAATACAGGAGACCTTGGTTTGATTCCTGGGTTGGGAATATCCCCTGGAAAAGGGAAAGGCTACCCACTCCAGTATTCTGGCTTGGACTGTATAGCCCACGGGGTCGCAAAGAGTTGGACATGACAGAGCAACCTTCACTTTCACTTTCAAAGTCCAGATTCTTCTACTGTTCCTCTCATGATTAGATGGGGGTTATGTGTTTTGGACTTCCCTGGTAGCTCAGTAGTAAAGAATCTGCCTACCAATGGGCAGGGAAGATTCCCTGGAGAAGGAACTAGAAACCCATTCTAGTATTTTTGCTTGGGAAATCCCACAGACAGAGAAGCTTGGTGGGCTAGAGTCCCTGCATCAGGGACTCAGATACAACTTAGCATCTGAACAACAACAGCATGTGTTTTGAGAAGACCACAGAAGAAAGCACAATTCTCATCACATCATATCAAGGGAACATATTATCAGTATGATTTATGACTTTTATGGCAAACTTGGTTACCTGGCTGCGGTAGCGTTTGTTAGATTCCCCCACTGGAAAGTTACTCTTTCCCACCCACACTATGCGGACTTTTAGAGCAGAGAAAAATGCCATCTGAAAAACATTCCCAAGTACTTCCTGAATTTCTGAGTGGGAGAATTATATCTGATGCAGAAATGTGTCTGCCATAAAACAGGGTGATGAGTTGGTGACCTTTGGTTTCACTGTTCACATGATTTAAATGGAAGATGGTGCATTGCCTAAAAAAAGTGATGTGACTCGGGAAGGCACTCTCATTACCATTTTCTTCACACAGACACAGAGCTCTGTTTTATGGGCTGTGGCTACAGCATCCTTAGGATGTGCCTCCTAATCTTATCATGGCAAAATCTGGGCAGAGAGACGGGTGGCATGCAGCTACTCGAGATTTGAGGAAGGAGATAAGCAAGCACATTAACAGTTGTTAATTTCTTCCTTTCAAGGTGACAAATATCCATTATCTTATTTAATTTAACCTACTGAATAACCTTGTGAGGTCGGCATTGCTGGCCTTATTTTATAGCAGAGGAGTGCAAGTTAGATCACACCAGATGGCAAGCAGCAGAACTCAGGTGTTTGGAGTCTCA